TACCATATTGAAAAATATACTATTTTTGTATGATAATTATGGGTTTTGTATTTTATTTTAATAGAAGTTGATGTTGCTTTTGCAATTATCCATCAATTTTTTAAAATTAAACACTATCTACAGATTTGCATCGAAGCGTTTCTTATGATAGTGATTTTAATCACTGTCAGATTAAATCTATACTGGACCCTACTATGCAATGTCTCCACTATGCCGCAACCTCTTTTTTTTTTTTTTTTTATAATTTCAAAATAATTATTTTTAGCTCTTTTACAAAAATTACAAAAAAATGTTAATGGACCAACAAAAATTTTAGGATAAGTACTCATCAAATTACACACATTGTATATAAAGAGAGGGTAGGTGTAGCTCGTACTGGTGTGTATATATATTTCGTCCACGTTCCAAGTTTTCTCTTTAGATATAAATAATAAAAATATATACCTACTTTGAACGTAGTCTATGAAGGCAATGATTGTTCAAAGACAGAACATTTGAATCAAAAATTATAATGTTGCCATATAAATCTGAGACATTATGTATACTTAGACCATATTTAATATAATGATGATAAATTATGCATTTTATAATGATGATAATAATAACAATTGTACTTTACAATATTATTTGATTTGACCATGGACTGACCTAGATTCTTACAATAATAATACATTGTATATTTAAAAATTATTTAATCGATCGGTAGATTGCGTATTTCAAAAATTATTGTTCGATGGTTACGAAGAACAATAGGGAAATATGGTTTGTTTAACCTTTTTGCGTGGAGCTTTCAAATCTAATGCTACATAGGATGGCTAGTGAACAATGATAAAAGGAGGGAGGATTTTCCAGTATATTCAAGTGTCATCTGAATTGTATAAATGATAGAGTGTGTTATGGAGCGTTTTAAACTGTTGCATTGCAATAGTAAAACATATAAAATATTACTTTAACCTTTATTATAAAGGCAATTCTTTAATAGAAAAAGTGTGAAAGTTCTATGAATGAAAAATAAACTATTATTGATCAAATTTTTTCGAATAAATGACTAAAAATAACTGAGAAAATGATAAATTTGAGTCAAATACCAAAGTGAAACGTATTATCTATTTAAATTTTATTTTACTTTTGACTGAAAAAATATTATGTTTAATATTTTTTTTCCTTACAGATATATATGTGATAATTTTATAAGAATATCCAAATTAAGTATCATTTTTGTATACTAATCATATTAAAAATAATACCTAAAATATAATTTAATGTACAATAAATAATTTTTATATTTTAAAATAAATAGTTATTAAATTAACTCAATAAAATAGTAATCGTACCCTCATACACGTTACGACTACTATTCTCTTCACTCAATTTTTGAATTTCATATTTAAGTAATAAGGAGTTTGAGCTTTTTAAAAAACATATCCCACACTAGTGTGTGTATGTAACGTTAAAAACTATAAAAATGAATAATGTATATTATTAAATTTTATTTGAAATCTAAATTTTTAAATAAATTATTATACACATTTATTAAGTAGATAAACTAAGTGTTTCACAGTAATTGATAGTACTGTTAATTTTAATTTGTCTAAATAAATATATATTTTTTAATATATGAAATTATTAAAAAATAAGTTGATTGAAATTTTAATAATTAAGCATAAACGATGTAAATTATATATATTTATTAAACCAACGGTAGCACAATGAGCACGTGGCATAGTTAGAACAAGTGCAGATGTCTGACAGTGATTAAAATCACTATTATTAGAAACGCTTCGATGCATATGTAGATACTGTTTAATTTTAAGAAATTTGTGGATTATTCTAAAAGCAAAATGAATTCCTATTTCCTTATTTAAATCCTGATTAGTAGTTCTTTGATTTAAAAGTATAATTTATGATTAAATATTAATTATAGCAATTAAATATGAAGTATGAAATTGATATTTAATAATTTAGTATTTTAATTTTTACAGTGAAATTATGAAAAATTAAATAGTTGTTTCTTTTAAGGCAAACGTGTGTAAAAATTGAAGGTCTTGATGCGTTACCTAAAAAAAAATTGTTACTTATGAATAAATTTACTGGTCTACAAAGAATTTTCACCAGAGACAAAATATATTTTTCTAAACCCTTTTTTGCGCTGATTTCAAATCTGTAATAAGATTTTTTCTATCGCCTTATTTTTGAGATTATAACTAATTAGAATGAGTATCTACACATAAAAAATTTAATTAAATACAACAAAAAAAAATTACAAATAATTATTGATTTTGATTTTTAATATGATAAAAATATTCCGGGCGAAATTTCAGAAAAGCTCAATATTTTTTTTTGCATTTTTATCGTAATAGATCATTTACATCGAAATCATAATATTAATTTCTAAGTAATTTTTGGCGTTCTAAAAGTTCTAAAATTGAAATATTCAAAAATATTTAAAAACATCTAGGTTCAAATAAAATTCAACTACACCTCAGCAGACGAAATTATAGGTGAAATTAGAACAGGTCTTAAATAACCAAATAATAAAAACAATAATAANAGGTTCAAATAAAATTCAACTACACCTCAGCAGACGAAATTATAGGTGAAATTAGAACAGGTCTTAAATAACCAAATAATAACAACAATAATAAAAA